GGGAGAAAAGGGAAAAAAATAGCGAGGAAATAGTGGGTGAACAGTTGGGGTAGGCATTAAATGACAATCAGGAAGACGCTGCCTCTGCGAAACGGGGCTGTTTTTAAAGCGAGCATTTGGTGGATACCGGCAGTCACCTTTTGCGACCTTCTGTGGTTTGAGCAGCTGAAAAAAATCTGGTCACGTTCCTAGGAAAGTGGGGCTGTGCTGAAGAAGAAGCCAGCACTCTCCCTTTTGACCTGAGCCCCCAGGTAGCACCCCTTGCCCAGCCCGCCCGCCCCAAGAGAGAAGAGCAGAAAACAGAGAGCAGAAGAGATGGCTCCTGCAGGTGAGCCAAGCTACGTGCTGGAGGGACAGGAATCCTTCCTCCTAGCAACTCTTGACGTGGGGAAAAACTCTGCTAAGGCTAGGGAAAGGGGAACGCGCTGCCAAACCCTCCTGCAGAAACGGCATGGGGCAGACCGCCAATCCTTGGGCTCCTGAGCCGAGATCTTGGGAGAAGGGGTGCACCCAAGAGGGGCGCTGATAGGGTGTCCCCCCCTGCACCACGCACCAAGAAACAGGGGAAAGAGCCCAGTGGGCAGCCTTGAAAGAAGGGTGGGGAGATGCCTCTAGGTCCACTGGGGAGGGCTGTGAGCTTCTCCCCTTCCGTCCCTTCGCCGGTCTTCCAGTCTGCAGACTGAAAGGAAGAAACGTTTGCCCCTAAAGCAGCCAAAGGCCTCAGCTCTCTTCTGGGAGACAGAAGCAAGAAAAGCACGTTCTGGGTGCATGCCGATGTCCAGAAATAGGCGATGCACCTTCCCCGCATGCCTGTCAAACTCTGGAGGAGCAACCACTAGAAGCGTCCATTGCAACGAGGCAGAAAAGTCTCCCCGCTTCCCAAAGGGACAGGACCTCCCCGGCCACCTTGAAATCTAGATGGAGAGGGGGCACTGTGTGGAATCCAAGCCCCCCCCCGAAAGGGCCTGCTTGCTCCCCTTGGCCATCCGGAGAGGGTTGCTCTTCACCCCACGCCATTAAAAATACCACGGGAGGGAAGGAGGAGCAAGCTGATCCGGATCCTACCCGGGGCGGCCCAAGGGGCTGTGAGGGTTCCTGTAGTTGCAGTGTTTGTAAACCGTTTTGATTTTTGAGCACGTGGGCGTATTAAGTTCGTTCAGAGCCGTTTAACCGCCTTGATGTTTTAACCGACGTGGTTATGCCTTGTTTTTCTTTTTAAAACACGGAACAGCCTTAACGGCAAGCCCCAGAGAGGGAATCGCAGCGAGGAGCCTCAGCCTCTCCCTCCCCAAGGTCTCCATCACCCAAAAACGAAGCCCAGAGAGAAGACGCTTTGTTTGCTGCGTCGTTCCCTGGGGCTAACCTTGTTTGTTTCACTCTGGAGGAACCGGTGGCAACTTTCCGCACGTCCCTTGTTGCGCGGGACAAGGAACGCGGAGCCTGGATGCTTCACCCTGTTAGGAAGGTCTGCAGAGAGGCGAAAAGGGGGCCTTGTATCTGCAGGGCGTGGGTGGTCCGGGGAGCATCCAATACAAGCCATGAGGAAGCCCCCAAAGAGATCTGAGTTTTTCCCACCATCCCCCTAATCATGGGCTTTCACCATCCCCCCCAACACAAATGCTGTTGGAATTGACTTTCTCCGTGGCTGCCTTCTCCCTAAGATCATGAGTTACCAACAGGAAATTGGGGGAATTGCTGATATGTTTATAACGGTACGTTCAAATCTTCTGTTTGGACACATGGCTACAGCTTCCCATTAAGAGCTCTCCCACCTGTTTCTCTGCGCTCTCTAAGGAGGAGACGGCGACTGGCAATTGGCGATTGGTTGGCATCGCATCTGCGGGCACCATAGCTTGGGGAAAGGCTGACTCACACAATATTCTCCTTTCTGGAGTTTATTTTCAAGCAAGAGATGGTGGGGGAGAAGCTCACTGCTCCAACCTTTCTTGCTCTTCTTTTTTAGTTTTCATCTTCAGAGCAGAACCACCTTCTGCAACCTTTCCCATCACAAAAAAACACTGAAAGGAGAAATAATCCAGCCGAAAACTGGCAGCAAAATAAATTCAAGGGGACGCAAGACACCAAGAACGGACACAATCTGGATTCAGAAAAGTCCAGGAATGTTGTACTGTTGGGCTCGTAAGCTGCATGTTAGACAAAGCGCTGACCTATTAGGGCAAAATAGGACATTTTCCTTCTTGTTTATCATTATTCTTTTTTGCGCACGGGGATTTCTCAATCTTAACTCCATCTCAGAACTCCATCTAAGGTCTGCCTTAAAGATCTCTCTCCCGAGGCTGCTGGCGTTGGGCATTTGTTCGCAGTCAACAAGTGCGACGTTCAGGACAGAAGTCTAGGGACCGGATGCTAGGAGGAGCAGGACAAAGGGTCTCCACGCTTCTTCCACAAGAGGGCAATCATGTTCCACCAACCCTTTTCGAAGGAGGACTCCGAGGCACAGATACTCACTGTTCTGGGCTGGAGACAGATGTCCTTCGACCGTCCACAGCCACGCTGCCTTTGGGTCTTCTGACAACTTGGGGTCTGGGCGGCCGAACCTGTTTGACAGCAAGTAGAGAGGCTGCAGTGGTTCTGTTAATGAGCTGGAGAAGCACCACGACCCCCGCTTCCCCCATCAAAGGTCCCACTGCAACACTTCTGCAAACTGCAGGGCCCCTTGCTAAACCCATGAAGCATCTTCCTGGGCAAGAGACCTCGCCGGACAGTCCAGACAGAGCCAAGGGACCAGGGAGTTGCTGCTTTTTTTAAGCAAACAGCAAGCCTGCCTCTGTCTAGAAGCGTTCAGAGGGGAGACGTGGCTCAAGAAAGATACGCGCTGGCCAGGCAACGCCAGCCGCAGGTGGCTTTGTGACATTTGGAGTAGGAACATCTGCAGGGCAGGGCAAAAATGTCGAGACGGCAGCCACCACACACCGGCAGCCACGGTCTCGACTTTTGGGGCCATTCCTTGAAGACAGCCCTGCGAGTGGAATTTTGGCTGGAGCTGTGGAAAAGTATTTCAACCCCCTAATGCCACAATCAATATTTAAGAGCCAGCCTGAAATGTCTTCAAGCAGTAGGGAAAGGCCAATGTCCTCCCTTGCCCCAGGGTTCAGAGGCTTCTCCCGTTTGGAGGAAAGTGTTTTCACGTTAGAAGAGAGCGCTCCAGAGCCCAGCAGAGTGTCCTTCTACCCATTCAGAATGAATCTACCCCGTGACTCTCAGCGCTTTATCCGAGCAAAGTATGACTTTGGCAACATCGACCAGGCGTGTGCATTTTAGTCAGTTCAGGCCAGCGACTTCTTCCACTTCCCTGCGGCTAACAGACATGCCTGGAGCCTCCTTTCAGATCCAGGTTGTGAGAAGCAACGTCCACCGTGCTCTGCATCCCACTTCAGGCAGGACACCCCAAACAGGAAAGCAAAGGAAAGGAGAAACACAGGAAAGGTGTCCCACCCAGGCGTGAATCAAGGGGTGCGTGCAACTGTACAGAGCTAAGCAAGGAGAAACAGAAAGGAGTCTGTGCCTCAAGGATTACAAAGATGAATCTTTGAGGGGCAGAAGAAGCTCCTTGTCAGTTGGAGCAGCTCGTTCGAACTATCAAGTGAGATGAAGTGGGTTAGTGCTCCCCCCTTACCACGTCCTGGTGGCTTCTTCAAGATGGGCTGCTCTTGGACTCATCAATGCTCCCCACCCGCTCACAAGAGCGCTTTCTGCCTACTTGCATGGAAATATAGACATCCTGTCATGCCTCCCATCCCCATCCCCACTTTGGGGTCTTTGCTTGGGGGCTCCACAAAGTGTAGCTAAGCAGAGGGAGCAGGGGCCCGAGACCCAAATCCAGAGATGACACGGGTTTGCCTTCTCCAGTGGGGAGAATACTGCGGGCATCTTAATGGGTGACCCTTACGGCAGCATGGGCTTAAGCCAACCTCATGATTTTTGCAAAACGAAAAGATAGGTCCAGATTTTGGCCAAATGAGAAGTTGCCCAGATTTCTGCAAAACCAGAAAATACGCCCAGATTTTTGCAAAATTGCCCGTGCTTTTGTCCTCAGAACAGATAAAGCCATGGGTGCCTTTTGAAGGGTTTTCAGCTCCTCCAAAGTAGGGCATCCTGATTCACGAGAGGCAAACTGTCGACCCCCTCCTTAATCCTGCCTCTCACCTGGGGCGGGGGATTCTCGGAGACTAACAGCCGAGTCTCAGAAGTCCTTGGCCAAAGGACGGGTGACCCCCTCGGCTTGCCCTGCGAGGCCCCAACGGCCTGCCTATGCAGGCTTGGAAACTCTCCTCTTGCGCCTGGAATTTCTCTCCGAGGGGACCCCAGGCCCACTGATGAGGGCTGGGGGGGAGGAGGGCGCGCCAAACAGGTCCTCGGAGGGACCGAATGTCACGCGCCCCACGGGAAGAAAGGGGTCAGATGCCAGAGGCCTCAGAGCCCGGCGGCGGCACACAAGGCTGATTCTCTCCCCGCAACCCAGACGGCTTAAAGCGGCGAATTTATGGCAAGAATGGAAGGATTAAGTTTGCGGCAACTTCGCGTGAACTTGCAAGGCGGAGAAGCAGAGGGGGAAAAGAACAACAGAGCTAATTAGAAGAGCTCTGCTGTCAGAGCACGGCTGCATGGCTGAGTGCCAGCAAACAAAGGAGAAGGCTTGGCAATCAGCAGGATCGATGGAAAAGACTGCTTCATTAGGGATGATAAAACACAGGGAGGGAGGGAAAGGGGAGAGGGGGAAGCTGGCGGGAGGGGGAGAGCGAGCACGCCGGGGAGGGAGGGGGAGACTGTTTAATTAAGCCTAAAGCTGGCTTGTCACTTGCTGTGAACACTTTCACCTTAGGGGCGGCCCTCTCGGAGAGGGGACCGGAGAGGGGACCGCTCTGCCAGAGATAGCAATTCCACTGCTCTGGTGGAGGGTGTGTGTGTGTGTGTGTGTGCACGTGCACGTGTGTGCGTGCACACCAGATCCCTTGGAGGACCTCTGGAAGGAGGGCAAGTGACAAAAAGGTCAAGTCCCAGCGGGATTTTAAATGCCACCTGAGAAAGAGGGTTAAAACCCATCCATGGAACACAAGCGTGCCACAGCTCAAGCCACCCTCCCGGCAGGCTAAACGGGGGCTAAGGGGCCCTCGGCCCACCTGGAAATGTGAGCCCACCTTGATGGGGGGTGGACCCTGCCAGCCTCCCAAAATTCCAGAAAAGGTTTATCACAGGCTGGGTGGGAGTTCTGGAGCTGGGTCTTTGTGCCAAGAGCTGCCCGTTGCATGAAACCAATCAAGCTGAAAGGGGGGACACAGCTGGGTAACGAGAGCTGGGGGCACCTGAGAACACCCCATCCGGAAGCCCACAGGTGCCACGCTCTGCAAGGTGCGAGCGTCGCAAGCCCCGCGGGAAGGCAGCCTAAATCTCCCTTCCCCTCTTCGTGAAGGGGGACCTCCTACCTCTTGGTTTGGAGCCCCACTCAGTACGGACATCCCTTCCGGCTGACTCTCTCCCTAACTTCGGATGGTCAAGGGTGAAGATCTGCTTCCACAGTCTTTGGGTTGAGGTCAACACTCCCTGATTGTCGGTGCGTCGTTTTGTTCCTGCTGAATTTTGCTCCTTCTTTCTAAACGGGCCAGATTCGTTTATGCCTAGTAAACAGCCTTGGGGCTAGATATGGGTGGAAAGGTGGGCCAAATTTATTTTTCTTTTTGAGAATTAAACAAATTTTCCATCACTGCATGGGGAAAGGAGATCCCACAGAGGTAAGAACGAACCTTCGTGTCTTGAGAGTCAGAGACAGATCCGTGCACAACATGGAATCTGACACTTCCCCATCAAATGAACTTCACAACAGGTAATCTGATTTTTTTTCCCCCTAAAAAGCTACACTGAGATTCTGCAAGTAACCCGTAGCCGTGTTTCTCAGCTGGCAACGGGGATTGCTGGGCCTGGCGATGTAGGGGCTCCCTGTCTCACCGATTCTTTCAACCCTCCTCTCTGTAGGTGCATTCATGGTCTCTGCCACATGCCAGAGTATTAAGAGGTGGTTCACTAGAGCAGAACAGGTCATTCTTCTCCTTTGTGGTTCTATTTCCCACTGTTTCTGTATCTGCGGTTCCTAAGTAAAATGGTAGAACGCTGCATTAGCAATGCATGCTTTTTCCAGTTATCTGCAGTTTCGTTATCCACAATGGCTGGAAGAGAACCTCTGCGACTAATGAGGACCATCTAGATCTTGGTTCTAGACTGGCGCAGGGTTACATTTTCAGAAACTAGAATTCTCGCGTGGACAAAGCCAATCTGCTCAGGGGACTTGGTTAACCCAAGCAACTAGCTTTAACGGCTCCTTCTACCACCCCAGGGCTCGCTCTTAACCGTCGGATCCATCCAGTTGAATACAAGGCCAAGTGACCCATCCCATGTCAAGAACACTAGGGCAGCAAAGCTGAGGGATGAAACCAGCTTGGTAAAGCAGACTTCAGTGCAACGTGGAGCAAGGTCGCTCAAAAACATTTTATCTGAAAAACAGAATCGCTTGGGGGAGATCTGCTGGGTGGGAAACAAGGCAAACGCGATGCAAGGCTGTTGGGTTTTTTGTTAGAGTGAGATAAAGCACACAGAAAAACGGAGCGTTTTGGAGAGGGAATCCAAAGGGTTCTGAACAACTGAGCCGACGTGATCAGCACCACCTCCGACACATGTAGGAAGGGAAATTATCAATGCATAAATCCATAACAATGACGCATGAAGCTAAACACCCACTGTTAATCAGGCATGCACTCTTCACTGGAACTTGGCAAACACACCCCGGAAGTTAAGAGCGAGCGGCCCAATGCAGGAGCCCTGGATAGCAGAGGGCAAGGAAGCTGAGAGCCCTGAAACGCCCCACGCTACTCACAGCTGGACCGGCCAGCAACTGATCTGTGGTTTTTCTCCATCTCGCTTTTAAGGAATGAATCAGATTATGGAAAGAAAGAAACTGGGTTCCAGTTCCCTCCCTTGGCAAAGAGAACAAGTAAAAGAGGAAGAAAAAAAAACAATGATTCTGGGAAGGGGGGAATTTTTGCCCAGTGAAGATCCTGGACAAATATTATAATGAGTATTTTTTAAAGACCGGGTTGCATTCAGTGGTATGAGGATTATCGGCAGGAATAATTAACTCAGCCTTCTTTCAGCCACTTCAGTACTTTGCTACCATCTCATCTGTTCACATTCTCATGCTGTTGGAATCTTCGCGGAAATCTTTTCCACCTTGTTCCCTCTCCAGATGTGCTGGGATGATCATGCTTATAATTTGGGGGCCTGTTGTTCCAACATATCTGGAGGGCACCAGGTTGGGAGTAGCTGCCCTGGAGCATGGCACTACCCGGGTAAAAAAAGGCAAATTTTGTGACCCTGTCCCAAGGTGGGCCTACTATAAGCTAAGGTGGACTTGGGCAACACCTAATTTCAGGTCCTGTGAATAGCAGCCAAGAGGGAAACAATAATGGGCACTCTGCAAGTCTCCAACAGCTACAGATGTTGCCACAGATGTTAGCCAGTCAGTGCCTCTCTATGGGACATCTTTCAAGCAACTCCCCACCACTTAAATGGGGTCCCAATGGGTTGTATCCTTCAGCAATCTGTGTGAAAGGAACAGAGTTAATTGCCTTAAATTGAGCATGACCATCTTCTCTTGTAGCTCAATATTCTGCCTGGCACCAGGAAAGAAATGCTTCCCCCAATTTAGAGATGTTGGGGACTAAAAACAGGCCTTGGTGCCTGGCTAAAGTTTCCATCAAAATAAAGAACAAAGGCAACACGGTCAACCCAAGACCCTTTCTATCAAGAGTATCTTCTTCTTCTTCTTGCAACAAATCCCAACTGGTAAAGATGTTTTAAGTTTGGGAAGACTTTGAAAGTCGACTAGCTAAAATTGCTGAGTCTGGAGCAGCTTTTGCAGAAAAGAATAATCCAGAGCGAGGAAAAGATGTCAAAAGACCCACAGGAGTAAGAGGAGGCTCCGATGAAGAAAAGCAGAGTCTAGGACCTGCTCAGTTTGACCAAGAAAAAGGCCACTGTCCCTGTTCTGCTTCATGTGAGTTTGCCAAAGCCCAACCAGCAGTATTTAGTAAGATTAAGGAGTGTGCAGGGTTAGAGAGAGGCAAGTGGCCATTTACTCACGGGCCTGGTGGAGCGATGGATCTTGGGAGGTGGTGGTCTCACCGGTCGTGCGCTTGGCTGCAGCAAAGCGGAAACTTCAGTCATTAGCCCTACGGGGCAGCCGTCACCCCAGCACAGCACACCCTTGACCTTCCAGCATGCCCCACCTTACTGGAGCAAACCCCCTGTGAGGGAAGGAACCCCAAATCTCTTGCCCTTGGTGGGCTTAACCACCATAGAGGAAGACGGGGAGTGAAGGAGACACGGCTCAGCCCTACATTTTTATGAAGTCTATTTCAGTTAGACAAAAGTGGAGGAAGAGACTCCTAGTTCAGTGACAGCCTTGGGCAACCTCAGGAGAGGAGTGCAACCCTTCTTGGGGGGCACCACCTGGTCAGTGAAAGCAGGACACTGGACTCAAGCAGTCTGGTCTTAATGCTGTGTTGCTGAAATGCAAAGCCTCAGACATCTCGAACATCCTGTGTGTGGACACCTCTGTTTCTTAAAAATGCAGACCTACATCTTGTTGCACCGTTGCACCGGTCTTCCTCCATTCTGTTTTATGCAAAGAGGTGCTTACCATTAAACAACAACAGGTACAAAAGCTGCATTCGTATATGCCACACCGTCCTCGAGAAACCCCAAATGCGTTTTTACCTACTCCTGCTCACCAAGTCAAAAAGGGACACCCATGTTGGTCTTAGAATATCACCATCTCTCCTAGGTTTCTCTTGGCAAAGCTAAGGGTGAGACACCTGCTTTTCCTCCCCTGTTTCTCTGAGTGCCGGACCCTGCGTTAAATACCAAACTCCATTTTTGCCTGGCGTAACTGTTCAAGATTTCCATCCTCAGATCAATATAGAGCCTGGGACTGGATGCCTCTAAACGTCCCTGCATTGGTGCCTCTCTGGCTCAACAGTGGGTGAGAAGCCCCCCTATTTATCTGCCAAAATCGGCAATGAAAGAGAGAAGGCGGCACGGGTGGTATCCAGGGGGTTTCTTCTCTGAATCCTGGAGCTCTCCCCTCTCACGCTCAAAAGCGGATTCGTGAGACGTGAACATTATACGGAAACCAGCATCTGATTTGCAGTTAATTTGTTGATGCAGCAAAACACATTGTTTCCAAAAGGTCAGGATGGGAAGCTGTGGTAGAACATCAGCTTAATTACCTGCGCTGCATCGAGAACGCCGTGGATGCCCAAACTGGAGCTGGCGAAGGTGGCTTAAATTACTGCAGCAGGCCTGTGGTTAGAGGACCAGCCGCAGAGGCGCAGGAGGGGAAGAATGATTAAGCAACAGCTTAAGCAGCTCTTTTAGTGGACTACTGGTCCAAGGAGGACTCAAGCCCAGGGTGAGGAGGAGGTGTCCAGCACGTGAACGAGTTCCTGGTTTGGGTAACGGATAGGGTGGACGAATGCAAAACCCACAGCCACACAACCTGCAGAAGACACTAGGACACAGGATGAGGAGTCCGCAGAATGCGGGGCCAGAAGTCCACTGATGAGCGCTGGGTTCTCAACCACCCCAATCCTGGCTGAGTCAGCTGTTAAGAATGGCCACAGCGCCATGATGTTGCCTGTCAGCCATGCGGGCTTCCTCACGCTAGGCTTAGCCCACATCTTGACCTTTTTTTCCTTTGCTGTTTGGGCTCAGCCCTCTCCCGGGGACCTTTCTGAGGTGAGAAGAAGGATGGAGGTGGCTTCAAGGCCCTATTACTGAGCGGCGCGTACAACTCTTGAAAAGCCAACTCATGACAACACAATTCTTGAAACCTCCCTGGCTCTGCTGCTCCTCCAAAGGGCATCCCAGCTGAAGGGGCATCATGGGTACAGAACCAGAGTTCGCCTCCTTTGCAAGAAAAACCAGGCTGTATGACAGCCGGGAGAGTCCTTGCAAGCTCCCCCAATGAGGAAAACCGGTCCCTCTGCGAGGCCCCCCGAGACCAAGCGGGCCGGAGGGTCTCCCAGAACCCGGGGTGCCGGGAAGAGGCTCAGCCCCGAACGCGCAGGAAACCTGTCTGCGCCTGGCTTCAGCGGAGTTTAAAATCACAGCTAATAGGTTAACAACTGTTTTTTCTTCTGCTTCAAATGAAGAATATCAGGAAGCCGGGGGAATATTCGGCTTTCCAATTTGTACCAACTGCTCGGTGCTCCCTGCAACGTGTGTTTGACAGAGCTGACATTTTGTACTGCTGTGAGACGGGAGGAGCGCGTGTGACATTTTTATTCATGCTCGCGTACGCCCTTGTAATGATCAGCCCTGGTCGATGCACTGACTGCAGCAGCTCCGAGCCCTCGGAGAACAAACAGGAGTCGAAGGTACCGGCAGCTCGGCTGCCTTGTTAGACAGTGCCAGGATCCTAACGAACAGCCACGGCTGGAAAATTTCACTGTCAAATCCTCAAGGACACTGTCAGTCGAGAACTAACTGCCTACATTTCCCACGGAAAACGCAGAAAATTCACCCCACGCGTATGAAGCAAAAGGCACAAAGCGGGGCCAGTTTTTAAAACTTTCGCTTCTTTTTTTTAAAAAACTGGTTGCTCTCAACGCTTCCCCTCATGGGGCCGGTTCCTGAGCTCGACGTTGCAATCCGTATCTACAAATTCCAAGCCGACCAGCGGCTGTAAGATGAATACCAACAGCCGTGGATTTGATTATCTGGAGGGAAGAACTGCCTCTCTCCTGAAGATCGTGTGTGCATGCAAAATATGTTTCTGGCATCCGTGGCTGCAAACAACCCTTCTAGAAATACATTAGTATGTGGTGCTCTTAGCTAGGTGAACTTAGCAACCATAGGAATCTCTTGTGAGTTTCCCAACACAGCCCCGTCAGTGTGATAGAAGCAGCAGATGGAAACCTACGAGAAGTGGGACCAGGGAGAAACAGGCTAGGAGAAGGCTATCTGGACATTTATGGACAACAGATGATGTTCTCGTGGCTTCTGGACGGGTTCCTGCAGAGGCCCAGTTCTGCCTTCTTCAAGCAGCCCACTTGTCCAGGAGAAGACATGTCCTCTGGAAGACCAAGGATTCTGGAAAGAATCCATTCAATTCTTCTACATCCTCTTGACTGAGGCTGAGAACAGAAGGGATGTAGACCCCTCTCTGCACCATCATGACTTCCCAGAAAGAAGCTAGGGGTAAATGTTATAGTCAGTCAATCAATCAATCAATCAATCAATCAATCAATCAATCAATCAAGATCCAAGGACCACTGGACAGTTTCTACAAACTAGCCATGAAAAAACTGTTTTTCCTTTCTGCAGAAGAGTCTCAATGAGCTTCCATGAATCCCAGGCACTGGTCAGTATCCATATGAGGCAGAAATGACCACACTGAGGTCTCACCTACCATTTTAGTCTCCCTAAAAGGGATGGTTTGGTAGAACCCTTTTTACCTCTCTCCTTTGACATTAAGGATTTTAACAGTAGATTGCTCTATTGATAATCACACCAGAGAAGACATCTGTGAGAAATAGCCTCAATTTCCTTCCTTCCTTCCTTCCTTCCTTCCTTCCTTCCTTCCTTCCTTCCTTCCTTCCTTCCTTCC